TTCCTATTACCACGTAAAAAAAAATGAAAGTCTAGAGCAAGATTTGAATCATGCTCTCAAAAACTAAGTTGGACATACTTTGTTGCATAATATTCCAGAATTCTTAAAAATACCAGATCTGCAATACTTGCAATTCACTTTTAATGCTTTCTTGACACATAAAATCAATTTTATCTTTGATTGCTGATTTACTTAACTGATGATTTAATCAAGTTATTCTGGACAGTGCTTAAAAATTTCAAAATTCACCCTATAATTAATTTCAGGGTCTATGAAGGACTGAATTATGTATACTTATACCATTAAAGAAACACTTATTAAACAAGTTAAGGTTCTAAATGGAAAAATATATCCTTAAGTAAAAAGACTAGTCCCTAAAAAGGGGAGAAACAGTTCATTTGAAGTCCTGAAACAATTTCCACAAACTCTATGCTCATGTAACTGTAAAGTTATTGACAGGACAAATTTTCCAGCCGGTTCCAGTTTCTAGAATATAGTGATAATCAGCTGTCAGCTCATTATCAATTGACCACACCTACTCAGTTCCCCTAGCCTTTTTTTTTTTTTTTAGCTGACTTTGCTTGAGCTTCTTTTCAGTGAGTCACCTCTTCCTATTAAATTTCATACTGGTCATTTTCAGAAGCTATTCCACAAGTCCATCAATATAGCAATAAATAAAAAAAGAAAAAGAAATCCACTAAAAAAAAACTATTTGGAAAGATGTTAAGTTGTACATATAGAAGACAAATAAATGGAAGATGGAAAAATGCTATCTTCTTTTGAGCCGTTTCGGAACTGGTCTAACATGTAGACACCGATAATACTTATACAGTGTACTGTAACCATGGCAACCTTAAGTTCAACTTTTCAAATCCCAAGAAATTTTTAAAAATTGTTTTTTTGATCTAAAAATGTTAAATTTAGAAAGAATAACACTTTCAAGTTACCATTTTATGGTCTCCAGAATCCATTCTAGTTTTCTCTACCAACTCTTTATATTGTCACTACCAACCCCAAAGTTATCCTCCCTAATCTGACATCCAGGGATACACCTTGCCTAGAGTTGAGGACTGTTATGAAATGGTATTTGGTGTTACTGCTTACAGAGCAGAAGGGCAGGAAAACTCCAGTACAGTTTTACAACTTTTGGCTCCATGTTGCTCGATATTCTGCTCACCCAAAATCTCCTATCAACTTTACCTAGTAAAAAGATGATCATTAACCTAACTTCTACTGAATGAATTTAATGAAATTGAAGTTTAAATTCCATCCCTAAGGCCTTTTCTACTACAATAAAAATTAATCCCCTTTACTTTAAAATACTTGATATATATTCAAGCAGCCCATTTAAAAAAAAAAGCGAAATTGGGCCATATAATGGAGTGAAGTTGACTTTTGGAAGTCAACTGATCCAGATTAAAGAAAAATCCTAGCAACTCATCAGGCCATAGAGCTTTATTTGTTTGCCAAATTTTGTTTTTGTGAATTAACTTCAAAATAAAAATACAAGGTTAGCTGCATTTCCCCCCCATAGATTTCAAGCTCAATTTAGTCTCAGTTAGTTTGTACTCAATCTTCCCCAAGATTTATAGATATTCTGGACCACTTTTAAAAAGGAGAAACTCTAACTACTTGAATGCTACAGATAAGAACGGTCTGGCTGAGATTACACTAACGAGTAACATTTTACAGCCAAAATTGATGAATATGTTTTTAAGAAAAACCCCCAAAACCACAGGAGCTATTTCAGAAGGGCACAAATAACATACTAAACAAATTGCCAGTATTGTGAAACTAAGGTCTAATGGATTAAAATGATCTAAGTTCCCTAAGAAAACTGGCCTTCAAAGTAGTCATCTTCCACATCCCCTCCTCCCATCCTGCTGTTAATGGAAGAGAAATGCTTGATCTCAGGGAAAACCCCCAATGCACGTCTCATTGGTCAATCGCATTTCTAGATTCATCAGTCACTGATGAGTTATTAGTGGAATCACAAGCCTGAGGACCACCACCACACATCACCATATTAACTTTATTCTAAGGCCTTGTGGCTCCCCCAGGCGATTGGGCCAGCAGCAGGACCAGGCCTCGGGCCTGTGAGGTTACAGGGTTCAACACGTGGTATTTTTCGAACACTGAATCGCACTTCCTCCCGAGGCTGGAGCGCCGGCAAGAGACCGGGCTGGCGAGAACGCCTCCACCTCTCACCCGGGAAGGGGATCGGCACTCGAAGCCCCGGAATCCCGTCGCTACCGGCGGGAGTACCGTGGAAGAACCGAATCTCACCCACCCTCCCATCGCGTCATCACCCTAAAGTTTGAGAGCTTCTGAGAC